TATACATAAAAAAATGCTGATTAAAATTAACAAAATTAAAATTTGTCTTACACAGAAGCGTGGCAACCCTGATGGAAAATATGAATAGTAATATTTTACCTATTTTTCTAAACAAAAAATTAACTGCAACACTTTCGTATTCGGATTTTGCTTCGAATCGTTGGAATGGTATGCTGCAATCCGAATCGTATCTTCGAACCTTCGAAATTCGTAACAATGGCATGCTTAATAACGAACGAATAAGCTTTTTTGCGTAATTTTGTACGAAAACAATTCTGTGTCGGAGGCGAGATAAAAGAAGTAAATCGATGTGTGTTTGCAGGAAATATTAGTGGTTTTTATTTAAACAGATAAATTTGTCTTTCGCATATACGTATATTTGTATCCACTGCTTTATATAAACGAGCAAAAAAGAATCTTTGTTGCCCCTTACCGAGAAACTTGGGTCCGGTTTAATTACACTGTGGAACAAATTCAGGTTAGCAAAAGTTAGGTCGATTCTGAGAGTGAGGGGTGAAAATAGAGGCTAAATTAGAAGACCCGTATCGCGGAATTTGTTTATGTTAGTTCGAATTTTTTTTAATCGACCTTCGAACTTTGCAGTCAAATGCCGATTTTCAGCATATTGTTTATATGGTTTTTTGGCTATAACTCGTCGACTAATTGATATTTTTTCAATCTGTTAAAGACAACTTATTGCTAGAGACCTGTGCAACAATTAAAATTAAAAAAAATTGATTTAGAAAATTTTTGTAGTGCTTATGAAGCAAAATGTTGGATTTTTTTTCATGCTTTTTGAACATATTTTCCACAAAAAGTTTTTTTTTGCTTTCTGTTTGATCTATAATATGCTTCTCAGTTTCTTCAATAAATTTCATTTGAAAAGAAAACAATCATAATACAAAACTTGCGTTTTCCAGCTTAATATTAATTTACTTCTCATTTCTTATGTACCAATTTTTTCAGTGTTGGTTTTGAAGAAAGTTGAAAAAGAAATTATAAAAATATGGAAAAAAATATAATTTCGAAATGTTAGTTATGAAAAGTTTTAAGTAAAAAAATTAAATAAATTAAATTAATGATTTGGCCAGTTGCCGTTTAGCAGGCGGCTGTGGATCAACATCACTGCTCTCTCTAATATCTTGGTCATCGTCATCATCATCAGAAAGGTCGATAATTTCGTCCAACAGATATTCTTGAATTTCATCTTTGTCTTCCCCTTCTTCCTCTTTTTCCTCGTCTTCCCCTTCTACAAAGGTGTTTTTATACTACCAACAAATTTCAGATTCAGTTGGCAACTGTTGAGCGAGTTGATCAAGATGCCGATGCAAGAGATGAATTTTGTACGACATATTTCATCGTAAGCTGCCAACATGTTTGCAACAAATTGCCTGTAGTTGTCTTTGCGTTATTTAACCAAAAGTCCTTTAATGACTGCTTTCAATGCGAGCCATGCATTTAATTCTCGGTCTGTCAGAACTTGGTCAAAATCTTGACGACTCATTAGTTTCCGTATGTCGGGACCATTAACAACCCCTTCCTGAATTTTGGCGTTACTTAGTCTTGGGAAAATGTATTTTAAGCGGTTGAATACTGCTGGTCTTTTTGCGATACATTTCAAAAAAATTTTAGCAATGCCAAGTTTAATGTGGAGCAACGGCAACAAAATTTTCATTTCAGGAACAAGACTTTCGTGTATCCTATTGTATTTAGGCCATTTCCGTCCTTTAATACCTTCTCCGTATCGTGAATCCCAATCGCACAAAAAACACGGATATTTTGGACGGCCAGATGCTGTTAAGCCTTTGAACACCTTTGAAGAAGAGGAAGACGAGGAAAAAGAGGAAGAAGGGGA